TGTCTCCTCTAATAGAATGTGAGGTCCTTGAGAGCAAGGGCTATCTGACTTTTCTATTTGTATCCCCAGCACATAGCACATAGTAAACACTTTATAAATGCTTTATTCATTCATTTAAGTATTTCACGTGGAGTTGCAAGAGCCTTTACCATCCTGGTCAATATAATCTAGTTTGCCAATTAATGAAGGGCTGTCTCTTGTCTCCTAGAACCAGGGCGCTCTCTATTCCATCACTGTCTCTTGTACACTTGATTCCAAAAAAAAAAAAAAGCAGCGTCTAGAAATTCATCTGAGTAGCATCACTGTGTTGGTAAAAACAGGAATGAAGGAAGTAAATGAATATTCATTAGTAAGATCTCCTTAGCAGACATCCAGTTTTCACATCTAAGAACATTTGATGAAAGGAGGGAATTAGATAAATTGTAATGTAAAGCCTCATCTCCAGTATTATGATTTTTGGTCACCAAATCATAACTTTTTGAAGGGCTCCTGATAAATTAATTATTGAAAACGTGCTACCTTCTAGCTATTTGGGAAGTGATATGCCTTCATGATATGCCTCCTTGATGCCATCAGTAAGAACCTATCAGAAAAGCGGGCAGCAAAGGGGCCATGACTAGATTGTAAGCAACTTTCTATCACAAAGCTAGGTCTTCTGATTCAAAGCTGGGGGATGGCTTTCCAATGAACAATGAGATCTGTCCTGGAGCTTGAAATTTAAAAGGTGTACTTTTGTCCCCAACCTAGGTGAGCTGAGGAATAGACCACAGAAGTAACGGGAATGTTATAGGAAAGACACAGACCCTCTTTCTTCCCCGCCCTCCACCTCTCCAAGGCATTAGTATGGACTTTATTTAAAAAAACATATTTATAATAATCATACCAATTTGACACACATCAGCAAATATGAACACTTTCTTAAACAGCAGAAAAAGAGGCTTGTGTATGACCACGAATCTCCATTACAGTTTGTGTTAAGTACATATTAAATTTATAATTCCAACACTACCCTGCTTGTTTTCCCTTCCATACTTCCTTGTTTCTATAAGTGTGTGTGTGTGTGTGTGTGTGTGTGTGTACCAGCATGTGTGTGCACCAGCATGTGTGTGCATATGTGTTTGCTTTTTGCTATTTCTTCTCTTTTTTTGAGGATCAGGTCAGTGTTCAGGCATAAAACTAACTCTTCCCAGACCATGATGCACCTTCTTATCTCTCTCTAAATTACCTGTGATCTCATGTTAAGTAAAACAGTGGTGCCCTAGGAGGAGTACTGATTGGTAACTTACTGGAAAGACTCCTTGCAGGAATGCCTTTTTGTCTAACCTTTTTTTTCTCCCTGACTAGCGATTTCATCTTTGTGGAGAACTCCTGTTGTAGAAATGTCTTAGCACTGATGTAGATGATCAACTCATGTGTAACTTCTAATCCTGGAGATCTGCATGAGGCAGAAAGAAATTAAGTGACTTGCTCATGGTCACACAGCCAATATGCATTAGGGGTTAAGACCTGAAGCTACATCTTTTTGAATCCAAGCCCAGTACTCTAACCATTATACCATGCTGCTGCTTCCTTTAGGGTTACTGTTAAAAATTACACTCTCAATTTATTAAAGTCAATTCTTGCCAGATGTATATGCTTGCACCGAACTAGAAAATCTGACACAAGTCTACCTGCTTGCCAGTCTTCATTAAATACCTTAATCTGGTCAAGAAAGTCTTATCTTTTTTCCTTGAGAAAAATTCAACCCCAAATCCTCTAGGCCACTTTCTCAAAAGACTTAAGAAACACTCCAAGAAGTGCTTAGAACAATTTTTCTCATTAAATAAACCAGCCATTAGGCTACGGATTAAAACAACCACCTAGAACAAAAATAATCACAAGTAGAACTGCAAGGCTAATTTTTATTTAGACAAATGAGACACAGAGCAGTGTTTTTGGTACGGTGGATAGTATGATAGACTTAAAAGTCAGGAGTCCTGGATTCTGGGTCTGACATTAAGTAATTGTGTGAACCTGGACAAGTGACCCCCCTGGCTGGACCTCAGTCTCCTCATGTGTAAAATGAAGTAGTTGAAGTAGATGATGTCAACTCCTACACTCTAAGACCTTTTACCGGGGCAACCATAACTAGTAATTCTGGCACCTGGAACAAGTAGCATTGAAAGGGAATCTCAAATCAACTTGAAATATGAATTTGGGGATGGAAGACTAAGATCTCTGGACAAAAGGCTCCTTGGTAGAGAAAAAACCTGGGACTCCCACAAGAGGGAAGAATGAGATCCCAGGATAAGAGGTTACTGCCATCTGGTATCTTCCTATTTTATTGAGCTAAATATTTAGGCTAACTAGGTGCTAACCTCAGTTGTTTCTACTTCTTTAAGGACTGTGTGCTTGTAAGAGCCTTCTAAATATCAATAACCCTAGTAGAGTTGTAGCCACAGAACTCTTGATTTAAAGTATTAAGTAGGTACCAAAGGTCATGTTTTCATCACACAATAAAACTTATATAGAAGTCAAGAACTGCAAAGTTCAGTGTCTTGCAAACAGGAAACATTTTCTATCCTATTCTTTACTGCTGATTAATTTAATGACTAAAAGAAATATCATGAAGACTATTTCCCTGAGAAAACGTTATCCTAAAATCAGAAAACTAAAAGCAAGATTTAGGGAACAGAAAGCCTAAATCCAGAGAACCTGGGCTTTCCCACATATTCGTTTTCTGACATAACTGCTGAAGGTTACTAATAATTGAGATTTACTCTGTATGGATAACAATTCATATCACTGGTATTTCAAACCCAGGCAGATAGGACATCAGTTTATTTTTAAATGTAATACACAAATCAGTATTTTATGAATTAGACTTATTACCACAATAACATTATCCAGTAGAAAGTTTCCAAATGCATGCATAAAAAGTTTAAGCATAGTCTTTGAACTCCAGATTTCTAAATATACAAAAAATACATTTAACTTATGTAATTTTAGGGAATCACTTATAAAATTAGTTTAATTTTCACAACATAGAAAAATACAAAAAGACTATATATACAACATATACATATATATGTATATGTAAATATATATGTAATTTTCATCCAAATTTCAATGGAGATGCATTCAATTTGACATAGTTTGATAAAATCTTTATCCATAGCCATGCTGTTCTTTCTTCCTAAGTGAATAATTAATAAAAAATGTTAATGTGCATTCAATTTGCTCATATGCACCTATAATTCTAGGGCTTGTGAAATTTTCATGTTGGAAGTTCACTCCTTTACTGTTAGGAGGAAAATGCTTTATTTCCCAAGTCTTTAGAATGCCTTTGATAATGCTTGCTAAACGTTCAAAAGAATGGTCCTAAGTGGCAGATGGAGCACAGCAAGCTGCAAAGGAGGAGCCGTATCTACAAAGTACTACTTCACACCTCAAAGAAACTTCACTTATTGAAAGAAGAAGCGGGCTCCTGCAGGGGTGATCTGAAGACAAGCAGATCCAGTTAGTTGCAAAGAAAATTCTTTTGACTCTATCTTGAAATTGAGAAAACTTTGAAGTCTGACAAAATTCCCTCCAAAATACCACATTATTTTTCTGTGCAGTAAACTGCACTTCAAAAAGATGCCGGTCTCTGTGGGATAGGATGGACTTAGTTTACAAAAGAACACTACTATTTCAAATGGGAAACTGATTCATGTTGGAGAATCGAGAAACCAGTTAGTAAGAAATATTATGGAAGGGATACCTTGGTATGCCTTCCTTGTCCGCATTATGAGTAGTTCAGATGTTGGAATGGGGAAGGGAAGAATATTTAACATAATATAAAATTCCCAGTGAGACCCTATTTGAAAAAGGATTATGCTTTGTTTTTATTATCCAAATCAAATTCAGTGAGGTGCCATTGTTTGCACTGGTCTACTTATCATGAATGATGATACAATTCCAAAGCAGAGACTCTTAAACAAACAGGATTAATCAGAACAAAATGCTTGCTTTCAGCATTTTTTTTCAATTTCCATTCTTCTTCCTCTTCCACAACTCACAAAACTATTACCCCCCCAACAAAAAAATTAACCAAATATTTTCCCCTCTCCCAATAGCAAAGTAGGTGTGGCCCATATTGCTTCCACTTTATAAGGGTATCAAATTTTGGTGGAATGAAAAAAGAGAAAAAAGGAATTTGGGGTCAAAAAACATTTAATATGATTTAAGAGTACCTGACACAGTGAGAAATTTCCATGCCAACTCAAAGCAGAACAAATTCTGTCCCCTGACACATCCAACATAAATCTCACTAAAGTTGAAGTAAAATTTTAGAATTCAAACCTAAACCAACTTGTTCGTTTTTTAAAAAACAATAATGACTAGCATTTATATAGCACTTTAAAGTTTGAAAAGTGCTTTATTTATGTTAACTCATTTGATCCTCACAACAACCCTGGGAGGTAGGTGCTATTATTATCCCCATTTTACAGATGAGGAAACTGAGGCACAGAGAGGTTAAGTGACTTGCCCAGGGTCACACTGCTAGTAAGTGTCTGAGGCAAGAGTCAAACTCAGGTCTTGCTGACTCTATGTCTTGCACTCTGTTCAACCTAGCTGCATTTTCTCCTTCTAACCTGGGCTCCATATGCTATTTGCATAATTCCTGTTTATTTTCCTTCTTAGCTTACAAATGCTTATGAAATAAGCATTAAAAAAAAAGGTTAAGTTGGGTTTTCCATTATAACACTCACCTGATCTTAGCAAGAGTATTTAAAACGATAATTACTCTACAGACCAGACATTTTGTTTAATTACCATTAAAACTCAACCAAAATCAATTGGGTAAAGGCTCCAGAGACCAAACGTTATTTAGATTCTGATGAGTATCTAAGATTAACTTTCCAATTTTAATCCAACTTCTTCTTTAAAGGTTTTAGACAGTGTCACTAAATTAGCAGGTGAGTAATTAAACAGAATGAAGTTTGCAAGTGAAACAAAAAAGCTTGACAATGCTTGGGTTCATTACTTCCCAACTTTAATTTTTTACTGCTTCTGTATTCATAACACAGTAGTTGTTGAAAGAAGAATCATCCCCAAGGAAATGCACAGAGAGAGAAGAGCTCAATAATCGAAAAACTATAAAGATGTTAGAAAAGCTATCCCAGATTGGTTTCTGGAACTCTACTTCTCAGAAGAGTCCCTGCTCCTGACCTGTTTCTTCTCTTTCTGTAAAGACTTTTCCACCCCTATATACCCTGCTGGCTAACAGACTGAACTGGGTCAATATTGGGAAAGGCTCAGAATAAGGGGTTTCTTAGTAGTTCTACTGTGCAAATTCATTAATTGCCTCAAGAGTTTGTTCCTGCCTGCTAACTGTTTGTTGCTTGACTGAAAAACTGACTGAGGCTGGGCCTCTAAGGACCTACGGATATTTAAGCAACTGTCCCTCCTTGGGAATGGGCAATGATTGTTTAAATGGAGGTCCCCCAAAAGAGAAAATTACAGTCGGTGATAGAATTGTAAGTTGGACTGACATCTGAATTTGCTGCTTCTGATGCCAAACATTACCCCTTCATTCCCCAGGCTTGCCCAGTGCAATTCCCTTACTGGATGGGGGGTGATATTACTATGGTCCCAGCCAGAACCTCAGAGTATTCCCAAGAATAAAGTTGGTCATTCCAGCAATACATACAGTTTCCAGCATGCAGTCAAGCACTTTGAAAAGGCAAAACTAAATACACTGCAGAAACGAAACATAATTATAATTCAAGCTGGGCATTCAGTTGGTACAACTTTTACCACTTGGACTATAACTCAAGCATTGAGTATGAAGGATATTTAGCAGATACATGAAGAGAAGGGAAGCTATATAACATGTCATCCCCTCCCCCTCCTTACATTTTTGGAATTTCTGATTGAGAAAGCATGCCGACAAGATATTCCAGTGTGTTTCATGTAATAACTCTTTGTAAATCCCAGGTCCACTGGCCACGTTTTTTTTTTAGTATTTAAAAATAGTCCTTGCTTATTCTTCTCTGTGAAACATGTTGGAAACTCAAAAAGTCTGCAGCATTTTTGATCTGTGGAGAGTTTTGTGGGGAGAGCAGGAATCATTCATATTTCTTGTGTTCTTCAGGATGAGAAAGGACCTTTCTTCTCTGGTGTATCATGTGCAAGTACAGCTGAGGGAAAACTGGAAAGGAACACAATGAGATTAACAGCTCAAGTTAAAGGTGACTTTGAAAAGCCCCCTGCCATAAGGGCAGCCCTTAACGAAGAGAGGAACACCTGGGGGGAATGACAGGGTGGTGGACTGAGGAGCAAAGAGCACTGCAGATGACAGAACAAATCAAACACTCCCCTCGTACAGTTATGTTTATGGAAAAGAAGTAAACAATTTGCTCTTTATGTTTTAGCCAAAAGGCTAGGGGGCACAGCTGGGAAGATGGCAGTCATTACTAACACAGTAATAACAACAGAGTCACACTGCAGCTGGCTAGGCCTTTCAGATTTTTTCAAACAGCTTTCCTTTCTAGTCTCACATTTGACACTTATGAAAACCTTGTGAGGTGGCTGGGTTGGCTTTTATAAGTGAGGAGGCCAAGGTATTTGTGAGCCATTCATAGAGCTGGGCCTGGACCTCAAACAGCAGGGAGAAGCAGAGAGCTCGAGGTCCAGCCTGCCTGACATTTTAAGCGGAGTTATTTTAAAACATCAAGGATTTGTAATTTTGTCCATATGGCTGCTCCTGCTGGCGATGGCAATCCCTCTGTAACACAGACCATACTCAAGTGGTGCTGTGGACAAATAACATGAAGAGCCTTCCAAGCTTAGCAAGGCTGGGCCCCACTGAAATGGAATTATCGACGTGAAAAGAAGTGGTTCTTGAGTAGGGCTATGAAGAGGACTGGGAAACTGATCTATTCTAATAGGTAAAGAACAACAGGGAGGCCTGAGGACACAAAGGGATGGCTATTTGATTTAATCAAAATTAAGAGGTGTTTTCAAGGGGAAAAGTGATAAATCTATTTCTTCAGATGTATGCCAGCACTGAGGCACTGGAGATGCTGTTCAAACTCAGTTCACTAAGGTGATACCATAGGCTCTTTACTAGGAAGAAGAAAAGTCAGTGTTAATTTGGGTTATATCAGCCAGGTAACTCAAAGAGTAAAGTGGTTTCCAGATCAGTTCTTTACTTAAAAAAAGTTCAAACCCATATCTTGTCATTCAGCAGGCTTTGATCAATTAGGTAAATACTGATTAAGCACCTACTGTGTGCACAGCATATGCTAGTAGCTGCAGTGGACAGTGACCCTATACATTCTAGTAGGGCAGAGGGATTAGGAGAGGCTATAACACATAAGGGCAGCAGTGAAGTAAAGGTCAGTGGAGGCAGTATAGGAGAGTAGAAGGAATACTGGACTTAGGATCAGAACACTTGAGTTTACGTCCACACACTGTGATTTTGACCTATTCACCTGGCCTCTCTGGGCTTCAGTTTTCTCATCTATAAAATAGGCAGAGTGAGTTGGAAGGTTCTGTCTAGCTCTAATATGCTGTGATTCTATAAAGTCTGACACTGAAATGAAGATGTTAATTCAAGACAGGGAACACTTTTTGAATATTAGTCTTTGTGAGAATGATTTTGATCAGAGTCCAAAAAATTTGACAAAGCTCTATTATATGAAACCAAAAATATAATTAAGCCATAAGAATATTAATTTTAATATGAATAATGGTATTAATAATGAAATAGTATTACTAATGAAATGGGAGAAATTTAACATTTCTCTAAATTTAGGAGGCCCTAGCAGAGAAAGAGGTAGATTAAAAAAGAAACTACCTGGACACCTGTAATCCCACTTGCTGTAATTAGTTCACAGCATGTATATATATATATATATCTATATATCTATGTGTGTGTGTATATATCTATCTATCTATCTATCTATCTATCTATCTATATCTATGTGTGTGTGTATATATATATATATATGTGTGTATATATATATATATCTCTATGTGTGTGTATATATATATATACATATAGATATATATATCTATATCTATCTATCTATCTATATATATCTATATATATCTATGTGTATATATATACAGTATATTGAGGACTTCCAGCTTCCCAAAGGCTCTGAAGAATACAAGAGGTGAAAGAACAGTAACAACTTCTCAGGCTGGGGCCAGCAATTGGGGGAGAGACCTGACAGCAGCTCAGTTGCTGATGAAGAAATAGGATGGTTAAAGAGCAGACTCCTTCAGCTATCCCAGAGGCTGAGAATGGAGATGGAGCAGCTTTTTTCTGTCCCCCTTTTCCCAGACAACTCCATGATGGCTCAGCGCCAGAGATGGGACTGGAACTTCCCCTGCATTCCAAATTCCTCTCAAATGTCCAGAGTAGGGGCTGCCAGGACCCTAAAATAACTGTGGGTAATTTTCTGTAGCCAGGATAGAGAAGAAACACTACAGAAAGTCCTATGAGATTTCCTAATAGAGAAGGCCTGGTTTCCTCCTCCACATTTCAAGGAGAGATCCTTGTTGCCTCTGGGGAAACAGCTGATGATCCATAAAAACCTCCTGGCAGTGTCTACCTTCACCTTTGACCCACCAGCGAGGCTCACCGGTGCTCTAAAATGAGGGGGTTTCCATTGGGCTTACTCATAGCTCCCCAACAGTGTATGATTGGGGCGCTGATGCAGAGGGGATCGCTGAAATCCCCTGCAATTTGTGATAGGGTTGAGGGAAAACAGAGCGAAGCTTCTCGAAGCGAAATGTCTTTTTAACGCTGATATTAAGGACAGCCTGCAGCACCCTCACTTTCTGATGACCTTAGTCTGTATTCTTAGTTAGCTGAAGATTGCATCCTGGGCCTACATGTGTCAATAATCCTGAGTCACCTTGGGCAAAAGGCAGCTAACTCTGTACTTTCCTTCTGTAGCTCTGCTAGGTTTGAACTCTACTGAATATGATGAGCCCCTGCCAAGACTCCCTCACTGTCCACCCTTCCTCCTCTTTAACATGCTGTTTTCTCCCATTAGACTGTAAGCTCCTTGAGGGCAGAGACTGATTTTCTTTTTCTTATTTGTACCTCAGGGCTTAGCACAGTGTCTGGTATATAGTAGGTACTTAATAAATGTTTACTGAATTAAATTACTGAATATTTTCCAAAAGTATAACGAAGAAAGCAAGCCACAAAAATATCAGTGTGGTGCAAACTAGAAATGAGGAAGAAATAGAAAAATCTTCAGAACACTTCAGACAGCCAACCCGAAATTCTTTTGATAAAGACAGGCAAGTGTACAGGAGTGTAGACCACACTGAGAAACTGGATGAACATTTAGAACCATCACCGGGATGAGAGAACACTGTGCCGAGTGTGCTGGAGGGACTCAAGGATATAACTGGCAAGCGGGTGGTCCAAAGGTACCTCTCATTATAGATGATCAGAGTCTTACCAATGTAACTTAAGCAAAGCTGCTCTGCAGAGTCTGGACAGGAGTTGCAGGTAACTACTAGAAGCCATAATACAAAGCAAGATGACAGAATATTTAAGAAATCAAGTCTGTGGGGCGGGGTGTAAGGTAACATTTTCTCTAAGGGAAAATAAAATCTGATTAATCCATTAAAGTTCTCTGAGGTAAAAAAACCCCAAAAACCAAAGCATGTAGATAAGAAGAAACTAACAGACATCATTTATTTGAACTTGCACAAAAATCATTCAATACCCAAGACACAACTTTCTAACTCAAGCACTGGGGGGAACAAGTGGACCAAGGACAGGAAAGCAGTGTTTTAGAGACAGGACACAAAAGGATAAAGGCACTCTGTGCCAGGTGGAGAAGCTTAAACAGCAGAATCTCCCAGGGACTGGTACTGAGACTAGCTTTATTTCACTGTTTTATAACTAAAGAGGGACTGCAAAGTAAAATCTCCAAGTTGGTAGATGACACTAAGCTCTTTAGGGTAACGAAATGTCAAGCCGATGAGGATAAATTACTGAAGACGCTCTGGAGCTGTGTGAGTGGGCAGAAATGTGGTGAGCAAGCTTCCAGAAGGCAGGTATGAGGTAATACATTTAGGGGAAAATGAAGGGATCTCTCTATTAAGGAAGAAGATGCATTTCAAGGTCATGCTTCTTTGTCAGAAACTCCATTTCCAGAAGCAGAAATAGCATAGAAAGCAAGGAATACATTCTAGGATGGTAGAAGAAGAGGATTATTATAAGATTGAAATAATTAAAAATCACCTAAAATAATGTTGAATGTTGTAGAAAACATAAAATATACATCTGGTAGTATTGGGGACAGAAGACAGGGACAGTGAGAGGTAGGCCACTAGGGAAAGGAATAAGGAAAAGGTCTGGAGGGCAGGTACCTGTCAGGAAGACCTGGGCCAGGACAGGGCAGGCTCCAGGTCTTACAAGAAGTTTAGGTAGCATAAGCTTCTCTGCTTCCAGAAGCTTTTGGGATAACCTGCTACTTGATGCATTTAGCTTAGCCCCGATGGATTTTCCCCAGAGCAGCAGGACCACAGATGACCTTCCTCATGTCACAAGTCACCCTGAAAGGACTAAATCAGATTTACCTTCAGGGCAAGTAAAGCAGGCCTCATTCTTACATCAGGGTCTGCCCTGACCAAAACATGATCTCAGTTCTTTGATGACCCCTGATGTTGAGGGCTGGCTCTAAGAGTCCAATCTGGGTTTAAGATCCAGGACAGAGTTTGACTCTTGCCCAGGCTTAACCCACAGGGCTCAATCATTCAGGAAGCAGTGCTCTCCAAATCTCCCCCTGCAAGGGAGGCTCCTGAGACATTCCTCACTCTTTGAACCTTAGATTTACACATTCACTCCTCTATGCAGGTGGCGCCAAGGCGCCTGGGAAAACCTTGGAAAATACAACCCAATCTAGGAACCCTGATAATGAGGAAATGTATGTTGTCACATCCTCAGCAGATGTTTTGGGGAGTATCTCACGGGGAGGACTCTTTGAAGTTAGGCTAGATTTTCTCTATCTATCCTGTACCCTCAGATGAATAAACTGAGTCAGTTCTGCTGCTCCGCCTGGCCCATGTCTCAAGGTTATTTCGCGCTCTTCCGTTTAGTGCACTATTTGACTGCTGGCAACACCCTGACATTACTTTAGGAGGCAACAAAACATTTTGTTCCAATATCAGGTA